TGAGATATATAGATATATATTGTAATTATGTGTATATATGTTTTATTAATTATACATAATTTTATTTTTAATTGTGTATATGTAAATTTATATGTATATATTAATTTAAATAAATTATTTAATTTAATTTTTTTTAAATAATGATGTATCATAATTATAATGATGTTTGAATTGGTAGATGTTTCTGTAAATTTTTAAAAAATTCGAGATTAATTATACTAAATACAAAATTTAATTGGTATGAAAAAAATTATATGGGTGAGTAGCAGTGGGCGGGCGGGCCTCAACTACACAAAACCCACCACTTAATCCACAGTGTCTCCGTCCTAATTTGGAACCTGGAGATGCCGGTTATCCGATTCGCTCCGTGATTTTGTTTTAGGCACAACGAAAAGCTGGAAAAGAAAACAAGTCCACAAAACCCTAACCCCCCACGCAAACCACTCTCTTCGTCACCTGCTTCAGCTAATCGGGATCGCTCCTGAATGTGCAATCACCGTATGGCTCTTGAATATCAGGCCAAGCAGTCCGAACAGCAACCGCGGGCTGACGATGGCAGCCATAAGCTGAGGAGACACCCCAACGTAGAGCTTGAGCCGGACAACTATGACGATCTGCATTTGGAGTTCAGTCCGATGTTGTTCAGTTCTCTCGAGCGCTACTTGCCGGATTCATTTCTCGGTTGCTCTCGCCTTCAGAAAGCTTGTTTCATGAGGGATCTTCTTCTCAGATACTCCTCCGACTCCGACCGAATCCGAGTATCTCTCCTCTTCCTTTCCTTTCTTATGCTCCCTTAATTGATTTTATCTGACCTGTTTTTCTTCTTCTCCGGATTCAGCTTCAGAGACATAGAGAATACAGGCAGAACATCCTTGCTTCTTACCAGGTACCGCGTCCCATCACATCTCAGTTGCCCTTTAACGATTCAACTATTGTTGAACTCCGTTGGCTTCCTCATTCATTGTAGCGCCTGCATGGGGAGATCTATGCTCTCGACCCTACCAGTTTTTTCTTGCCATCATTTCTTAGAGCTATGAACCGGAAGACGGAGCAGAGTTATCGGAGCATAATGGTGGAACCCTCTCCTGGGATTTTCACGTTTGAAATGCTTCAGCCACGTTTTTGTGAATTGCTGTTGGCTGAGGTACGTATCTACCGCCTTATTATCCTTTTTGTTTTGTTATCCGCTCTTATTGTCTTCTAATCAGGTTTTGACTGCTTAGGTTGAAAACTTCGAGAGGTGGGTACACGAATCAAGAGCCACCATTATGCGGCCCAATACAATGAATAAATTTGGTGTCGTCCTTGACGATTTTGGTCTGGAAAACATGCTTGCCAAGTTGGTTGAGAACTTCATAAATCCTATGTCTCAAGGCAATAGTCTAATCGTGATTGCTAATTTCCACATTGTCATAAGTTTATTCCATATACCATGCTCATGTTTCTGGTTTCTAATCTCTTGTCAGTTTTGTTCCCCGAAGTCTGTGGATCTGCTCTGGATTCTCATCATGGTTTTATTGTCGAATATGGAAAAGATAGGGATGTTGAGCTTGGTAGGCACTTCTTTTTTTGTTCTATAACTCTTTACTTGTTATATTTTATATAATTTGGGAAATAGGAGTAAAAAAGTTCTCAAAATACTTCTTTCGAACCTCTTTTTCCTAATAGTTGTTTTGTTAGCTTAATCTCGTGACATCAGCAATACTGTATGGTTAAGTCTTCTCATCTAGAAATTCTGCTGATCTCTTTCCTGTCTTTTTCTCCCCTCTTAAAGGTGTTTATCTGATGGTTTAGTTACCGTGAAACATCTAACTGGCTTCTTGGTACCAGGATTCCATGTGGATGATTCAGAGGTTACTTTGAATGTCTGCCTGGGTAGACAATATTCCGGTGGTGAGTTATACCTTCGAGGTGTACGGTGCGATGATCATGTGAATACAGAAAGCCGTGAAGAGGTATTTATTTGTTAACTTGAAATCAGGCTGTGTTGTAGACAAATATGCATCTGGTGGTTTTATCTTAACCACAGCCATTTTTTCCACAGTTTTTGTTGGTATTTGAACTCTACTTTTTACCTACCTGCACACTGATTGTTCTTGTAGCCGTAATTCTATTGATCTGGACGAGCTAAAAGTTCAAATCGTGTTAGTAAACATGTGTTTGTTTGATTGTAATCTCCACAACTAACAGAAGGCGCATTCTGCCGAATTTGCCCCCGTAGGAAATTTTTGATTACTCTCATGTGCCTGGACATGCAGTTCTTCATCATGGACGTCACCGCCATGGTGCTAGAGCCACAACTGCTGGTCATCGTGTCAACTTGATTTTGTGGTGCAGAAGGTATGGCTTTCAGCATCTGCGTAAATAGTTTCTAAAATTGTGCACTCTGCATCGGCTCCATTCTGCATCTTTTTCTTGATTTGCCTTAAGGGTTGCTGAGTGCGGCCTCCCAGACTTTAGTCATTGGAGATTGTTGCTTTCTCTTCTTATCTCAATTTTGTCTTTGGTTTCTTTCAGTTCTACTTTTCGAGAGCTGAGACATTACCAAAGGGATTTCTCAAGCTGGTGTGGGGAATGTAGGCATGAGAAAAGGAAAAAGCAAAGGTTGTCAATTGATGCAACTAAGCAGGTATAATACTGCTGGAGCATCATAGAAGGTTGGCTACCAAACTTTTACTGAGAAATGATATCATTCTTTTGGTTTTCTGGCTGTTTGTTAGGTATTGCTGAAGAGAGGAGAGAAGTCTGCTTTTGAACTTTTATCAAAATAAAATTTATCTCTGCGGCAGAGGTCAGCAAATTCAATTTTAGGATTAATGGTTGTTGTAAATTTTTACTTGTGAAGGGGGACGTTTGTCCTAATTCCTATTTCAGATTGCAATGCCAATAAGTTTCTGAGGGTGCACGAAAGACAGACAAATGCCAGATTTTCCTTTTACACAGAGAACTAAAGCATCATCTCCTGAGAAGCTGATAATGCAGGAAGTTCATCAAGTAAAATGCATGAATCAGCTAAGAGTACCTGTGGAAGCTTCACCCAGCATCAAAAGAAGGAAAAAGGCATGTGGTTTACACTCAACCCAGATAACAACCAGAATGGATGAAAAGGAATGGAGAAACTGGCCTACTACTGTTGAGAGCCGATGTTGGAAAAGCAGCTTGTCTTTTTAAGGCACTTGAGCATCTCCACGAACCGGATACAGATGGATTCGGTCAGACCATGCATTCCTGTCTTTTGGATTGAGCTCCGAAATGCACTGCCAGACAGCACTGTTAGCCTTGAAGCCACTTCCAAACCCTATCTGCCATATTGTATCTCCCCTTTTCACTCTGGCTTTAGCCTCCAGATATTGGAGCTCATACCAGAGTGAAGATGATGATGTGTTCCCGTACCTATATAATGTCATCCTTGACGCTTCTCCATCTTCCTTGCCCAGCTTGAGATGCTTTTCCACGCCCTCAATTATTGCCCTCCCCCCTGCGTGTATACAGAAATGTTGAAAAGCTTTCTTGAAGTTGGGCATGTATGTCCTTGCCCGTCCCCATCTTCTAGGGATCAATGAACCCATGTATTTGAGCTGTTCTGGGTAGGGTAGCACACGAGGGCCTAACTCCATTACATTGATCTTCAATGCCCTTGATGCTACCATCACAAGTTGCTTGGACAATGACACCCCAACTCGCCCTTCTTCATCGTTTTGTTGCATTACACTCTCATATGACTCATTGTCAGATCCCAAGTGAGTCCTAACAAGGTGTTTGAGCTTGTATTTTGCGCTATGCTTATCCTGCTTCCTGTTTGAGAGAAGAATGGCTGCTCCTCCCATTCTGAAGATGGTGTTAGCAATGAGCATTGGCTTAGATTTACCTTTGTAACCGTTTGGACTCACGGCTTCCATGCTCAGCACTAGAGCCAACGAGTTACAGTGTACCTTGAGAAGATCTCTCACTAGATTTATTGACAGAAGCCCCGCACTGCAGCCCATCCCGCTCAGACTGAAACTTTTTATATCCCTCCTGAGACCAAACCTGTTTATGATCATGGACGTTATGGATGGCGTGGGACAAAATAGGCTACAATTTGACACAATGATGTCAATGCTCGCTGGATCTATCCTGTGTTTTGAGAGGAGGTCTTTGACTACTGTGAAGAGGATTTCTTGAGTCTCTGCTGTGGCTGCAGAGAAAGAAGAGTCTGGTGGAATCTCATGCACTGACACAGGCACGCATGCCTCGTCCCCAATCCCTGACCGTTCTAAAACTTTTCGTTGGAGATCAAGGCTTTCTCTACCAAATACGCCACTTATCTCGAGATGCTCGATGAAATTAGGGATTGGAACCCGCAAGTAGTCTGGTGGCTGGTAACATGAGAAATCAATAAGGTATGTGCATCTTGGCCTGGAAAAGTAGTAGACAAGTATGACGATGATGATGACGATGGAGACCGATGTTGCCAGATAGTGAGCAGAACTGGAGAGGGACTCGTAAATGAAAAGGAACAATTCCATTTTCTCCAAGCTAATGGAGAGGGTTCTTGTCATACAAAGTTAACAAGTGGAAAATGGCCAAGACTATTGTTACCAGAAAAGAACCTAGTTTGTTTCATCACAGGGTATGCATGTTGGTCTTTGCCGTTCAATTGCATTATTTTAGGGGGAGAGCAATACGTGTTTCTTCATTAAACCGCTAGAATTTCTTATCATGTTGAGCCGACTTCAGCTGCAATGTGTAGTGTTTTAGGTCTAGACAAGCTGAGCGAGAAAGGATGAAATGTATTTTTATGGATGCTTTTCTCTGATCCCCCCCCCCCTTTCTTGCTACATGGAACGCCAAAACGCTTTTTTGATTCATACGGGGCAACAAAACAATTTATAATACCTCTATTAGAGACTGGAGATCCGTCCGATAAAATATTCGAATAAACCAAGCTAAATAATATCCCATTGTAATTAGGCCAAAAACGAAAATAAAAGGTGGAAGTAACCAAACGTGGCACGTCTCGTTCCTATCGCCTGTCTCGGGTGCACCCTTCCCGTCAGCTTCAGGTTCGGACAAAAATGAAGACTCCATACCCAAAAGCCATAAGTCCATCGTTGACTCGAATCGGATGGATCGGCATCGGCATAATGGGGTCCGCCATGGCCTCTCGTCTCCTTGCCGCGGGCTACTGCGTCACCGTCTATGCACGCAACCCTCTCAAATCGTTGGATCTGCAGTCCAAGGGAGCTCTAACTGCCACTAGTCCCGAGGAGCTAGCCGAGACAAGCGACATCGTCTTCACAATGGTCGGCAATTCCGAGGATGTCCGATCGCTGATTCTCGGCCCCGCCGGCGTCCTCTCTGGGCTCAAACCAGGGGGAGTAACTGTAGATATGACTAGCAGCCAACCAGGGTTGGCGCGTGAGATATACACGGATGCGAAGCGGAGGGAGTGCTGGGCGGTGGATGCGCCTGTGTCCGGAGCGGACGTTGGGGCCCGCGAGGGGACGCTGGCAATATTCGCCGGCGGAGACGCCGAGGTCGTCGAGTGGCTGTCTCCGGTGATGAACATAATGGGAAAGGTGAGGTGTATGGGAGGAGCGGGAAATGGGCAGAGTTGTAAGATAGGGAATCAGATCGCCGTGGGAAGCAACCTGGTTGGAGTTGGGGAAGGGCTTGTGTTCGCCGAGAAGGCTGGTCTTGATCCGTTGAGATGGCTGGAGGCAGTGAAGGGAGGCGGCGCAGGCTCCACCATCATGCGGCTTTTCGGGGAGAAGATGGCGGAGAGGGATTACATACCGACAGCGTTTGCAGAGTATATGGCGAAGGATCTGGGAATGGCGGTGGCTCAAGGGGACGTGGCGCTGCCTGGAGCTGCTCTCAACAAGCTTCTCTTCTCTGGGATGGTTGCTAATGGAGATGGGAAGCTCGGTTTTCATGCCATCGTCTCTGTTGTTAGGAGGCTTAATGCCCTTCCTTAACGGATTCATGTTACAATATCCTAAATTGGACTACTGAAACGTCAGTCATTCCATTCGCAAATAAACCATAGATTTCTATTTCAGTTAATATCCATATGTGATATTCGTGATGCATTATGAATTTATGAACAGATACAACACATTAACACATCACTTCTCTTCCTTCTCGTAATATTCAATTTAAAATCAAACAAAATTTCGGTCTCCTTGTTATTAAAACATTAAATTTTGTCAACATAAGTACGAAGCATTATGCTATGATCGTGGGTAATCCAAACAAAACACACATGAATAGAGCCACAAACGAAAGAGAATATTTATTTTTTTATTTAAATGATACGATTACCATAATTAATTAGAGGGACTGCGAATACCAGGAAAAGAAAAAGAAAATGGGACTTAGAGACGGTCGATGATCCTCATAGCAGCATCGGCGAGTTCCTTTAAGAGATTGATGTAGTAATAAACTTCGGGTGAACCTTGGAACTGTAGTTTTTGAAGAGTAGTCTGGCAGGTCACTGGATTCTGTATCCCCTCAATTATGGAATGTGCTGCTTCGTCGTACTTTCCCTCCTTCAGACCATTGTCGGCCTCCGACAGATCCTTCCTCGTCTCTGGGAATTGCTTGTTGCACTCTTCCAATGCTGCCTTTATCCCTCCCTCTCCTTCTTTCGAAGCTATGCTCGTTATGTTCCTATGCACAATCCATATATGTCTCGTGAGTATTTAATTCAAAAGAAAAGAATTAATCCAACATATTTTCTACTGTTTCCGTTGTAAGACGTGTATATACATGGACAGGACGTCGAGGTTAGTTTGGAGACATTTGACGATGATTCTGGCAATTCCTACAGGGTCAGCTTGGGGGGAAGTCGGGTCTGATTTCAGACATTGCATGCATGTGGTCGGGACGTTGGCATTGTGGCACTCTTTTATCATCAGCTGCTCGTCCGCTCTGGCTCCCAACTCTTTAACTGAGATCGGAGAGATTATGAGAAGTGATATAAACACAAGTTTTCTGTTCATACGAAGATGACAAGCCATATCCTTTTATTTTTCTCTTCTTTGTTTTGTTTTGTGTTTTGGTTTTCGGGCAGTGGTGGTCTTTGTTGTGTAATGCCTACCTACCACGGCTAGTGTATAAAGCTGCTATATAATCTCTCAGCTTTAATTTTAGATTTTGTGCCAAACATACACTTCAGACGTGGTTGGTGAGAAATTTGTTTTCGCATTGATGGATTTAATGTGTTCATAACTCTACATTTAACGGGATGAATTAGAGTCTGAATGGAAAGAATCATCCTTAAAATGTAAAAAAAAAACAACCAGCAGGAGATGGAGTTTATTAAGTGGGGATGGTTTTGAGACGTAAAGATGACTTCTTCTACCACGAAAAGCATGCTTTTGAGACGTGATTACTTTATAATGGGAGTCATTACAATTTCTTGTGCATACGGAACAAATTCATAGGATTCTTCCTCAATTAATTTTTTGTGAGTAAACAGAAACAAAAAAGGAAAAAACATGGGCCGGGTTATCAGATCAGCCCACTTCGCTCCCAATTCTTCGACCACCGAATGTGTTTACTATTGATCTCGGTTTATGTGAGAGAACTCGGCAGTTTCAGCCAAACGTTGGGAGGAGTTCTTCTCTGTCGAAGCAAGAACTCGGCTTCAGGCCGGTGATCGGTCGTGAAGGTCGCCTCCCGTGAGAGAGAGGGTATCTATCTGAGTGTATGTTTGGAATTTTTTTGTGTTTATTTCGTAATCCACGCTTCTAAAATTAAAATTGACATGATGACTTAGTTAATGTCCAAATATCCTAAACACTAATCATTTTTTGTTTAATTTGGTATGTATTACTAAAAAATGATAGTACATTGTCCAAGATCTATGATCCACATTACAAGCTTACAAACTTTACCAGCTGATGGTAAAACCCCTAAAAACAACATACATCTGAAAGAATTTGAGAAAGTATAAATGGAGTTTGTGTGAGAAAGCTTTAGAGAATCAGACAAGCTACAGATTTCAAGAAGAATACTGGAGATGACATCTCCGTTATTGGTTGATAATGCAGACAAACCATTACAGACCTTTTAAAAGGGAGACAATAGTGATATGAGAATCATAAGACAAGGAAAGCGAATCAAGCTACCTCTGTGAAGATAGAAAAGGAAAGGAGAATATCTCCTCTGTCTTCAGACACCAAGATTGCAGATTTATGTGTCGATATTGATCCCAAATCACTCCATGCAATTCATCAATCAGCCCATACTCAGGCCCATGTACGTGTGTGTATCCCATCATCACCATTTGGGCTTGCTCGTCACATTTCTTTCGTGGTTGGTCATGAAAGACATTTGGTTCAACATTCCCCCTCAAGATTGGTTCGGGGAGATCGACGACACCAATCTTGGAAAGAGAATTGATGAACCCTTTGACGTTAGATGCTTTTGTGAAAATATCGACCAATTGATCAATGCTCTTTGTGTAAGACGTGAAGATGATCCCTTGTGATATCTTTTCACGAATGAAGTGGCAATCGACTTCAATATGCTTGGTCCGTTCATGAAACATGGGATTTTGAGCAATGTGCATGGCGGCATGACTGTCACAATGAAGTACGATCGGTTGATTGATGGAAATGCCGAGGTCTTGAAGTAATGCTTTGAGCCACATAATTTCGCATGTGGGGTTTAGGGTTTAGAGTTTAGGGTTTAGGGGTTAGGGGTTAGGGGTTAGGGGTTAGGGGTTAGGGTTTAGGGTT